GTACAGTAAAATGTATTTAATTCTACATAGCGATGTAAAATTTTATTAAATGATTTGTTTCATAATGAAAAACTCAAATATATTTAATATATTTTACATAATAAAGTAAGTAAGATGTACACAGCCACAGAATCATCTTTTACAGTGTATGTTGTGGGTTCATTTGTGTGTGTGTGCAGGTATGACATGGCTGTGGATCTGTTTACAAGGTCCTGTGCTGGCTACTGTGTAGCTACATTTATCCTGGGGATAGGAGACAGRCACAACAGCAACATCATGGTCAAAGATGATGGACAGGTAACTTGTACACAACACAACTCAAGTTATGAACTAAACTGCCAAAAACATTTCAGCCTAAAGTTTAGTTTGTTTCTCCTGCGSGTAAAATATCCTTAAATGACTCCTTGGGTAAGTTTTACTTTGAATAGTCGAGCTGACATCATCTCCTCTTTTCTGCTCTGCTTTGCTTTCTGTCAGTTGTTTCATATAGATTTTGGGCATTTCCTGGATCACAAGAAGAAGAAGTTTGGCTATAAGAGGGAGCGGGTACCCTTTGTACTGACACAGGACTTCCTCATCGTGATCAGCAAGGGATCCCAGGAGTGCGCCAAGACCAAAGAGTTTGAGAGGTTCGTTTTATTTCTTACTTTACTCAGTTTTTTCTTTTGATACAAGTTTCATTTTTTTAAACTTCTTTTTAATAATTATAAAGTGAGTAACTTCAGATYTAAAGTTTGTGACTTTCTGAAACTTCACCTGAAATCTGACAAACCGGAAATGATGAATTTGTAGCTGGAAGGATTATTTGTGTTGAAGCTAAACTGAGTTCGTTGAGGGTTTGTTTTAGTATTTTTGTGTTTTAGCAAGTTCAGTAAATTATTAGCATTTACAACTTGAGCTACCATTAAAAATACTCACTGCTGGCAAAGAGAGGGAGTGTTGGTTTGTTTTATTTTGTTGTTTTTAATCATTTTAGATCATTTTTTCCCCTTTTCTGCTGTTAGCAAGTACCGTACTTGTTATAATGGAATTTTGGATTTTATTTGAACAAGATAATGTGATAAAAAATACAAAAAAATAAAATAAAATAATAATAATGTAAAGGAGGTTTCAGTGTGATGACATAATGACATATAAAGTGCCAGATTTTGGATTACAGCAAACTCAACACTGTTAAAACACACAAACCTGTAAAACCATCGACAACCTTTKATTCTCAAATGTCTTAATAGGCATTGAATTTGTCAGTATAAAAATGAGGCCTTAATTAGCCTTAAAATGTCTTAAAACCATCTTTCAAAGTGTGTAGGATGATTGCAATTTGTCTAAAAATTACAATAATTGTTGATATTTGTTTTTTTTTTTTAAATAATTTACTGAACACCTCTGGCAGCTAGATGTTTTGTGTTAAACATTTGGGTAAAATTGTTATAATTTTTTCACTTTTTTGTGAAGTTGGTTTTAAAATTCATTTCAAGTGGCATTAAATGGGTTTTTAAAAGTCKTAAGCTGTAGGAACCCTGGCCAACATGGCTCAGATGCCAGATTAGAAATGAAACAGATTTGWTTAAATCTTTCTCTCTCTCTGTTTGCCATTAATCATGTAAAGCAGTTTTGTTTTAACCACGTTCACCTGGTCCCTCCAGGTTCCAGGAGATGTGTTACAAAGCTTACCTGGCCATTCGCCAACACGCCAACCTCTTCATTAACCTGTTCTCCATGATGCTCRGCTCCGGCATGCCTGAGCTGCAGTCCTTCGACGACATCGCCTACATCCGAAAGACGCTGGCTCTGGAGAAGAGTGAGCAGGTGAGTTTCACATTATATATGCTTAAAAACAACTATTGCATCTGTTTTTGTCAGAGKTTTATGGTAACTAAGTACATTTACTTCATTACAGTACTTTAGTTTTTTTAAGGATTTGTAATTTTGCCAATTATTTTAAACAGCTGCTTTTACTTTGTTACATTTTAAAGCTAAAAATGATACTTTACTTTAAAATGTAACACCTAGTTACTCATTACGAAATTAATTATGTTTGAACTCATCATAAAAGAAGATGTTTCTGCACTCTAAAAAATAAAGTGTTGAATTAACTCAACAAAGTCATGTCAGCTGGCTCCACTAAACCTAGTCGAGTAAACTGAGCAAATAATATACATATATTGCTTAATGTACTCAACCTGGCTTATAGGAACCAGTTTGGTTCAGTAAATTCAACAGTTTATTTCTTAGAGAGTGTAAAAGTACTTTTACTTTTACTTTCCCAATTTTTTTTAACAGTTATATGACTTTTACTTGTAGATTTCTCTGCTCTAGTGAAATTAAATTTTTACCAAAGTCATTTTCTGTTCATGTAATTTTACTTTTACTTACTGGGTAGTTATTTCTTTCAAGTCCTTGACCTCTGTTTATTTATTTATTTTTTCTGTTTGTTTGTTCTTTTTTGTTATGTGCTGCAGGAGGCCTTGGACTACTTYATGAAGCAGATGAACGATGCTCACCATGGTGGTTGGACCACCAAGATGGACTGGATTTTCCACACGATTCGACAACATGCACTAAACTAATTCCTCAAACTCAAACAGAATCTACTTGTTCCATCGTGGAGGATTTGTTACTCAAATTTCACTCCTTCTGAAGCAAATGGAAGTTCTCGCCTCCTCATTTTGAAGCACTTTYGTTTTTTATTTTTTTTCAACGTTCTCTGATTTTCTACATATTTTTTTTCTGTCTGCCTTCCTGCAAGATCCTGACAATATCCTTACACGATCCACCTCTTGTCTGAATCGGAGCATTTTCCCATCTTGATCCTGTGGAAAACGGTCAAACCTGGATGATGCTTCGGTCTCTGCCTAGTTTTTATTTTCACTCGAACAACCAAGTAACAAGCAGTCCCTCACGTTGCTGCTCCTTAAATAAAAAATGGCTTTAAAAGGAGCCACGTCTGCCAAGGTACTGTCGTCGCTACAAAGTCGATTTTATTTGCTCCCCTTCAGTCGTATTCGTGCTGCACTTTTGCTCGAGGAGAAGAAGAAGAAGGGAACAAGGAGCTGTCTGAGTCCTTTTATGCGACGCACCCGTCGCTCTGATTTGGTCTGTGTTGCTTTTATAAAGTCTTCCACCGTCTGTGAGAAGATGACCTCCGCAGAAGATTTGGCCTCAGCTTTTTCCTACTCATGAAGGCTGAAGATGTTTTATTTTGAGCCTCACCAAGTCAGCACTCCACTTTYGGGAACACTGACGTTGTGTTCTTAGACTCTGGTTGATGATGCCTTTCTGTCCAAAACAGCACTTAAAAAAAAAAGAAAATATTAGAGAAGCAAACAGATTTATTATGACTTTTTACATTTATTTATGTATCTACTTTATTTCTGTCTGAACAAAAAACAAAGCCTTACATTCAGAAACTATTATTTATGTAAATACGTTTGGATTWTTTGTGTTTACGTGAATATGTTAGGGGTTTATTTTTCATTTTTTGAGTTTTGGGTTTTCTGCAGCTTCTTCCGACAACCATGAGCGAAACTGCTGCCTCCCTGTGTTCTGATAAGAGTTTAACTTGTGCTGCTGATGCCTTTATTTTTGCTTGTCACTTTATAGGAAATCATTTTAATTTAGACTTTGTAGTAGCCAAGCTTGTTTTATTGGGACTTACTGCTCGGAATCAGTTATTTGGTGAAACAAACGAGAACGACTGAAACTGTCAGTTTTGCACTTTCTGTGCAGTGGGACCTATAATAAACCTCTGGCTGTTCCTTTTAAAGGCAAGCTGAGGCACAGGGGGATGCTAGCTCTGCAGACTATTAGRATCAACAATCAATGACTTAAGCAAATTAAAGAAAGCTAAAGTCAACACGTAGATTTTACCATGTTTGTGTATTGTTTGTATTTCCGACAGAGATGAACAGATGCAAACACACCTTTAATTATACTCCGATTCATGAAAAAATAAAATAAGCATTTACTAATATACTTTTAAGAAACCCTTTCAGTGAGGGGCGGAGCCAGAGGGGTGACTGGTATTGCACTTGCCAACTCTGGCACCTGATTGGCCACCGCCAAATGATTGACAAGTGGGGTGGGGTTTGCGTGAGGCATTTCAAAGATGGGCGTACATTGGGAAACATTTTTTGCTAACTGAGTTATTTAATGGGGATTTCTCTTGGCTACCAGCACAAGTTGTAGTCATTTGAAATGAGATTTTCTAAGATATTGTAAAAGATTGTTTCTTGGCTACTGCTATGCCAATTTATGTGTTTAAACATGGCTAAATTTGAGCCCTTTTGTGAAATTAGCATTATCAGCTATCTTAGTTGGAACTAACAATCAGAACATTTTGAAAGATTCCTAGCTACAATCACACACAAAATTTTAACTTAATATTTTGTAAAACAGCTAAATTAAAGCCATTTGTGAAATTAACATAAGCAGTTATTTTAGTAGGCACTAACAATCAGCATGTTTTTTAATATAATTTTTCACAAAAATCACACAATTTCATCTCAATGTTTCATAAAACAGCCAAATTAAAACCATTTGAAGTTAGCTGTGGAGGCCATCTTGAATTTAGAAATCCAGAGTAGTTTTATTTATTTGTATATGCCCCCCTAAAAACCACCCCTTTGCCGCCCCATGCAAAAATGTCTAGCTCCGCCCCTGCATACAGTATTTCAATCAACCAAGTATTAAAGTCCCAACATTGTGCTTTTTTCAMATTTATTTTCCCAAATAAATTGTCTGAGCATTTTCATTGTGCAACAATTTAAAGTGCGTTAAACTGCAGTTCCCTGAAAAGTTTCCAAGAGAAACTGAACCACAGAATCTCGCTTAGTTAAATGTGATTATTTTCCACATGAAACCCCATTATCTTTTGGAAACTTAGGAGGCAGGAAGAGAAAAGGGAATTAAAAACTGATACTTTTAGTGTTTTTTTGGGGGGGGGCAATCACTTAGTTTATGACCTGAATCAACCTGAAGTTATTTTAATGTGTTCAAAGTGGCGAAAAAGGGAATTTTGCTGTAAAAAAAAAAAAAACGTGATTATTTTTATATGAATTAACTGAACAGCCAATATGAGGTGAAGTTCATTAAACACCAGCCTGTTTCTGGTGTTAAATGTGATCCTGAACTACGAACCACACTCTGAGGAGATAAAGTAGCATTTCTCTTGCCTTAGAGTCGCTCCATGTGAACATTATGATCATTTTTTGTAACCCTATAATGTGAAAGTGAATCTGTCAGTTAATCAAGTCCGCCCTTCTCCTGTCCATCTGATTGTACCGAGAGGCCAAAGTTGTGGTCTGTTACGTGGCGCTCGTGTGTGTGTCATTTTAGCACAGCTTCATTGACCTGAATGTATTTAATTGCTTATATGAACCATCCTCTTGTTTTTGAACTGTTTGTTTTCTTTGCCAATTTAGACAGTGCCACARGAAACGTTGCAGGTTTTGATCTGCAAACTGCAGTATGTAGTAAAATACAGTATGTTGGATGTATGCATACTTTAAAATGAAAAATCTAAATGCCTTTTTTGTCCAGAATAAGAGTTCGTCTCATATGCATGTTTCTTAAGCAGTATAAAGATGTAAAAATTGACGCAGTGTTAAAAGGTTTTTATTTACAATTACAGATCGACTTCCTCATGTGTTCCTGTTTTCCCACACATACTCCAGATGATCGTGTGTGTGTGTGTGTGTGTGTGTGTTACGGTTCTGTGCAGGCTGCAGAGCTTCATCGGCCGGTCCCGATGAAAAGCTACGCCGTTTGTAAGTCTGTGCGTGTTTGTGTGACGACACCACAGATAATGGCTGTAACAGTGTCTTTAAATGTTTTGTACATTTCCCTCTCTCCTGGCAGGTTTGTGCCTGATAATTACAAAAAGGACAAAAAAAATTTGTAAGACGACAAATGAGTGACTTTTTTTCATACGTATGTTTTACTTGAAACTTCATGAATTGGAAAAGCATTGTTTTTTTTTTTTTTCTTTATTTAGAAACGGAGATGTTTGGGAGGCTTTTTGTTTAGTATTAATTGTTCGTGTGTGTATTGTACTGTATGTAAGCACTGGTGGCTGAAGCATTGTGCACAAGTTTGATGCTGGCGGTGAATGTTCTTAATGCTGCAGTCCTAGAGTCCAGAGTGACTCATCAGCTCCATCTTGAGGATTAAAGTTGTGCTTGAGCCAAAATATTGTCACATATTTGTGACAAAATATCTCTCGTATCCAATAAAAATATTTACGTCCTTAAAAATCGTAACTTTTTTGTTGTTTTTAAATTTCTCGCCAAAATTCAACATATTAGTTTTTTTTAAATTATCACAAGGTTTAACAGCGACATTTTCTTTTATTTTACACTTCCAGGATAAATGTGTGGATAATGTCTGCAGGACAGAGAATTACATCAGTAAATTTAGTAAAATGTTTGATTCAATGTGTTAAACTCTTAGAAAACGCCCCCCTGAGCTGTGACTCCATGATACATTTTGAACAAAACACTCCAGTATTAATGCAGGAAATATTACCTTTCATCTTTTACCTGCATGAATATGAGCCTTAACATTTCTTTCTCCTTTCGGACCTTTTTGAGCTATCATTTTTATTTTTAAATGTCTCTGAACTGTAAAAATGCCAAGCGATTTGAACTCATAGTTGCAAAAAAAGAACTTTGCGTCGAGGGAATATCATAAAGCAATTTAAGGAGAAATTTTGTTTTCAGATTGACTTGTTTGGTTCCAATTTCCTGAAAAATAATAAATCTGCGCCTTTTTTTTAACATCCAGTTTTCCAATCTGCACTGCATTACTGATGTGTACAGTGCTGCCAGGAGTTTTATCATAAACTGTAATCTTAACTGCAGTTTCGTTCTACATTGCATCCCTGGTGTTAGGTTTGAATGCAAATAAAGAAGATCTCTATCTCTAAACTTTACGACTGAACGTTTGGCCAATTTAATATTATTTTTTACTTGCATGAGATTTTGAGTTTTGATCAATTGTTGTGACTCAATTTTCTTTATTTTGGCGTCCATTCACATTCTAAATCAAGGCCTTAAGTTTGCTCCCTTTAGTTTCCTGTATGTTTACTTGCAGTAACCTTTTTTTAAAATAAATAAATGTTTATTGTATTTTTCCTTACTGGTCTCAGAGTCGGGGTGTGTTTACTTTGACTGGTCATCTGGGTGGTCTGTTAAGATGTACAAATAAAATTTGTTAAACATCCACTTCACTGTTTACTCTTGCTCTGTCCTATAGGGCGCCAACTGTAAAAAGAAATGGTACAAAATTTCACTAACATTTTTCATTAGATCACTGTTCTTACATTTAGCAAATCTTTACTAAATGTTAAAAATATATATATTT